CCCAAGAAATACCTCCTTTCTCTGCAAGTTGGTGAAAGGAGCATAGCGAAATTTGCGTGGTCAAACGGAAGAGCAGGCCTCATGGCCTGAGTCTCGCCGCGTAAAATTAGGCAATAATTCAATTCAATACATTGTTCTCCTTTTAGTTTTTCATACTGGTTGTAGAGTATTGAAATGTTGCATAACATTCCATTTAGGCATTTTTATGAAAACCTCTTCCGCACGTTCCTCATTTTTAAAAGACACCCTTCCACAACAAAACTCTTCATTTGGCTGCTGACAACACTAGTAGTGGCGAAACATTCCAAGGATTTTCGCCAAAATCGATATGCACCGATCGATCTGGTCTTATTCGAGTCCCTGCGAACTTAAAACGGATTTGTTTTTGTGTGTATTTTTAGGCATTTTTCTTCAAAACATACCTCCAAACAGTTTCTGTACATTGTTGCTCAAACAGAGAGAGAAATACGCTCATGGAGATGATAACGGGCCCAATTTTCACTTTAAAACTTCAGTAATTTTGAAAATTGCAAACGTGAAAATTATTGGACCCCGGCTCGAACTGCATTAATTAAAATATTTTTTCCCCTTCACGAGATGTTTTTTGAGATATACTGCAAAAGGTTTTTAAGAGATGGTTGAAGGAGTGGTAGAATAGAAGGTGATATGTAATAGATAGCCGTTACCAATATTACGAGGAAGAATGTGCTAGTGTAGCACTAGTTTGAAACCTCTATTTCATTTAGAGTTCGTGTATATGGCCAATTACTCTCCGATTACAATCTTTCTTCACTAGGAGAGTTAGTAGGGGGTGGGGGGGCACTTATCCAATCGGGAATCTCAATTCCAAAAATAGATGCCCGTGATTACTTAGGGTCCTTCTTTTAACTCACCAATTTTAGAGAAATTTTAATCTGAGAATTCCAGCGACTTTTGAAACTCGCATCAGTTTTCGAAACCTCAACTGCGGATACGTAATTTCGAAATACTCTAAACTAAACAATCAATGTTTTCTTGTAATCAAGATACCGAAACGAAATGATTGATTATTCAGTGACTAGTCTTCGACAGCATATGTAATATAACCACAATAAGAATTGTTAAAAACGATCATTCGTGCACAGTAAATCCTAATGCATAAGTTAATTTTAACACGAGAGAAGCCAACACAGCTATCGTTTCGTGGATATAGCGTATTTTCCTATCCTTTTCCGCCTTATAAAATTTGTAAGCTATTGATCCATCTACCTGTGGAGGAAGAACTTTCCACTACCAAACCGCTTCAGATTAAAATGATTCTGAAGACCGGTGTGATTGTTAATTTTTTCAGCATCCCCACTAATGTACGCCTTATGAACAGAACCATTGTAGACCACGATAAAAAGAATTACTGATCAGATTTGGCCTCGATATATCAGGAACACACTGCAACTAGAGCTCAAATCCAGACGATTACATTATCATTAGGACTACAATGCTATTTACATAAACTTAAAATGCTTTCTATTCTTTCATAATTACCGAAATACAAATTACTTTTTTTTACTCAATTGTTGTAGACACACTAATTACACAAACATTTACTCTTTAACACAATCTTGACCAGTCAAGATTTCTAGAAATTGACCAAAATTCTCACTTCTGCTTAGAAGATTCAATTCCTAAATATTATACAAACTCAAATAAAACTAAGTGCATTATCATAACTATTACATAAGCGCAAGTTTCGTGCTCATTGTGCAAAGCTGGAGGGCGAAATATTAGATTATTTTTCCTTTCTCTGAATCTAGTTAAAAACCATACAACTCTTCAACCACGATTCAATATTTTAATGTTCAAAACAATTTATTTAGCATTGAGAGATTCCGATATACATCGTTTGCTCAGCCGAGCCACGCCAAAACCATGTATTGTATTGCAGTAGTATTGTTATGGAGAATATTTTACACTTTGCCCTTCTTATGTTCCTACCAAGATACCTTTCTTCCTGTGAAATGTAGGCCTTCTGCCTGAACAGATTTCTGCGATACTAAATATTTTGTAAATGATAAGAACTTACATTTACTGCTTGCTTACTAATATTCCCAATTTGTAGCAATAATCTGCGTGTTTTGGGGGCTTTTTCTGGGGGAGGGGGTGCCTCAGGTGCAACAAAACTTACGAGGAAAATATAAATTTGGAGAGGAGGGTACGCAATCTTCGTGGCTGTCGAATTTAAAATAATAATTTAATCCCTGACCGAACTGAAAACCCTTTCCGACTTATGAAGAATATCCGAGTGTACCGCCCCCCCCCACCCAAAAACAAACGCGAGACCCTCACAAGACTGCTGCGCCGATCAACGCCGCGCTGTCGTCTCCACCGGTGACAAGCGGGAAGATACCGGCGCCGGTGGCGGCGGCCTGACGATCGCGGCGGAAGGGGACGGATGGTTGGGGGGGGGAGCGCGGTGCCGGTCCGCAGTCGACGGGGACCTGGGCCTATCGATCCAGGCAGCACCGACCACGCCCCGCTAAACAACAAACAAACAGCGCGGCGCGCGTCGTGGGCACAGCTCGCCTCAGCCGCGTGCACAGCTGCACCGGCGTGCCATGCGGGCCGCGCCGCCGCAACCGGCCTCGCCGCCCCCGCACACCGGATTGGAGGCCACGGCTCCGACGGCCGACCACGACGCGCTCCAGCAAAAGCAACACGGGCTACAACGAAAAATTCTCAAACTTCCACCCCACGTTTCGTTTCCTCCTCCATGTATCTTTAATGTTAAGAGAAACTAATTTAGTTCAAATTGAACTCGCCAGTTCAAATGTGACCAATGTACGTTAATCTAGAAACACGGGAATAGATGAAATAGCAAGGAGGAAAAACAAAAAGTTTTATTCAGAATGCGTTAAGTAAAACTTTTCTCCTGACGGACAAGGCCACTTCAAGGCAATATCAAATTTTCTAAATTAGATCACAATTTTTCACAGTTTTGAGCGGCTACAGCTCGTGTCGTAAGTAAACCAAAAATATACTATCTATGGAAACAAAACTGACACATTCAATTGTATAATATTGAGTGTTCAGATGGTCCTCCAGTAAATTTAAGAAACAAAACCGAGCGGTCGAAATGCCTATCGTTTTCTTTTTCACAACGATTCCTTAAAAACTTTCATTTTTCCAACGCAAGGAGCCTACGGCGTAGGCCAGGCGGCTTGCGTACAAATCCGGCTCTGGCGCGCAAGCTGGCAGGCAGCAGCCCCCCCCCCCGCGGGAGCGCTGGGACCGGCGAGGAGGTAGAGCCGTGCGGCCCGCCCAGACGAGGCTCACGGCGCTCTTTTGTTCGAAGCGGCGGCGAGGCGCGGCGCTGCGCTCCGGACCCAAGGCGAGAACCCGGCGTTTTCTTCTCGCTGCGGGAGGAAGGGCCCCGACTCAGAGGGGCGGGCTGGCTGGCAGGCAGACACTGGCAACCCGGCACGCCCGGACGAGGGGGCTGGTTGGCCGAATACGAGTTATTTGGTCGGAAGAACAGGCCCGTGAAAGGCGCTCCAAACGATCTCGGAAAATTCCAAGAAACCTCGGTGATTTCGATTTCAATATGAAAGCGCTAAACACAATATCAAGAAATTTAATTACTATTCATTCTTCGAAGAGGAACTATATTTTTTTAAATAATTTCTTGTGAAAGAAAACCTTGGTAATACGTGAGAAATGTTACCTTTTATCAAAAATAATTGCAACGCGCAATAATTGAATAAGAACAAAGCACTGTGTAGTCAAGTTAATGTAATACGGTTCCAAATCCATTTTACCGCCAAAATTTATAACCCTAACATTCTTTTAAAAATCTTTGTTACCGATAAGTTAACATCAATGATATTCATTATTAAACTGGGCACAAATTAAGACTCATTAAAGTTACGTGTTCACTAGTTAACGAAATGCCAGAATAAATATATTAAAACTTTGGATTTTTTATCTAACAAGAAGCCCTGTAGTAAACCACCGGTAAGTAATTTAAAGCGTTAGGCTACACATTTGAATTAAATTTCATATGTTTTATATTCTTTGGTCAACCATGGTAACAAAATACACCGTTGTAGAACTTAAATCCACTTAATTTGTTTTTAACTTAAGGGAATATTACTTAATCCATCACGAATCACTAAATATTAATGATTTGAAAGGCATCACGAACATGTTCAGATTATTTTCAATCAACGAACATAAATCGCAGATCGAATCGCACGTCCGGCACGAAGTCAACTCTGAGCTCAACTATCCCTCCATTTTCATCCACGAGTCGGACCGACACTCTCATTTAGTTCTTGTTCAGTTTCAGGACGTCCTCGGGAATGCAATGTTCAGAACTACAATAGTGACACTTCACGGAAGCAAAGCGTTATGTGCGCGTACAACCTCACACGAACCGAAATCGAAGGTGAATTCACACAAATTTAACTATTGATAATCAAGCACCAGATGATATATTGTTTTGGTAAAATATAATAGCGATTACTATAAATTGAAGTCTTAGCCATTAATGGGCATAGAATAATTTCATACCCACTATTCGACACTTTGTACTCCCGTTCGCACCCTAATCACCGCCATATACAAGACGTGAACCTTTGTTTCAGGAGTGGAACAAATAAATTTTGTTATCTTGCCGAAACACAAAAGCTATTTCCAAAACTCTTCTTATATCGCCAACAGATGATTGGATGAAATCATTAGCGATCACTTCAACACATTCGTGCGGTTTATCGACTTGCCGGTAGAACGCCGAACACAAAAGAACAAAGAAATCGCAAATAAAAAGAATCGAAATTGCGGAAAACTTGCACAACTACGTGTAATATCACGAAATACCACGAAATTATCTTTTAATTCCGAAAATGAACATCATCTTCACTCACAAATCAACACTTATTATTCACTGATCGCACAACACTTTCAATACATACGTACGATCTACCACACAGCAAGAACTGTATAAACGAATCCGGTAAAGATGTTACCTAGTTATCTTCCCGTGTCCTGCAGCGCTGGCAGCAGCAACCACGTCGTCGACGACACTGAAGCGAGAATCCGACTCAACCTCACGCCCAGCGCGTAACACAGCCACATCGCTTAGCGCACCCCACCGCACGACCGTCACCCACAGCACAAAGAGGCCGACTGCTCGCGACGCGCGCTGCTGCTGCTGCCGCCGCCGCCGGCCCAAAACGACGCCGAGCGCGGTCTGACAGCGTGCCGGCTGCGCGCGCAGGCCTGCCAACGTTCGCCCAACGAAAGTCACTACATCGCGGCTTCAGAGCCGCTAACGGGAAATGCCCAACGACAGCAATGGGAATTGGTCATTGGGATTCACTCCAAACTTTTTATGTATAGAGTTATTTGGTTTGGATCGATTTATCCGCAAAATTAAATGTAAAAGTGGAACAATCGGCGTTCAGAAGGAACATCGCGCGACCCTCCTACATGAAATATAATTTCCTTTGTTGCGATACAGAAGTCAATACATTTGTATAATGAAATTAAT